ATATATATATATATATATATATATATATATATATGTATGTATGCATGTATGTATATGTACGTATATGTATGGGTGATTGAAAAGTAACTCCTATTTTATGTATGAGGGACTCTCCCGTCTATCTTTAAGATTTACAAAACAGGAGAGTTCATCATACTAATAAGGAGTTATTTTTTCAATCACCATATATATATATATATATATATATATATATATATTTTAAATTAATTGATTTAAAAATATGTTTTTTTTTCGCTACACAGTTCTAACCATGTTTCAAAAATCGAAGCTAAAAGCCCCGAATTTAATTTTGTGATTGAATTAAAGACATTAGTTCCATTTCATCCCCAAGCGAATTTTGGAGTAACTTTTTAAAATTACTGGGTTTTAAATACACTAATGCTCTAAATTAATGCTCTGTAAATTTACATTGAGCACTATTTTGTAAAAATAAAAATATCTATAAGAATACATATATATATATATATATTCTTCTTACTCCTAATTCTTGCTGGAGTAAGCCACATCACATATGATTTTTAATCATTTAATGTACGGCCCTGGGGTTGCTGACACCCGGGGCAAGCTGAACTTCGGCGTCCTTACAAGCATAATTTTTTTTTATAATTTTCACAAGGTGAACAACTGTGAAATGTAGAATAACGTGTTTATTGCAATATGCAATTTAATACAAACTAAAGAAAGCATTTCTTATCCTACGAAACACATGTCATGTCGGCAAGAAGGCTCCGCGGGCGATTGCCCGAGTTGCCAGTAGCTTGTACCAGCCCTGCCGATAATGATATGACAATGAAAGAGAATGAGATACCTTTAAAGAGGAGAAAGGACGATAAAACAACAGAATTCAGGAAGTCAGAAGATGGCGAGTGACGAAGCATTTTAATTTTTGAAGAACGTAGATGGCGGAGAGACAAGAAGCCGGAATCAAATAACAAAGTATAATTGCATTATTAGTTCATATGACACAATGATACAGGCAATCACCAGTTTCCGAAAGATTATCCTTCCTAAATCTGCTTTTAAGTCAGCTTTGTATGGAAGAAATCTGAAAAAAAAGTACATAAGATTCTTTCTAGCTATATTTCTGTGATGAGGTATTGCAATTATTTATATTATTTACATTGTTCGGACTGTTGCCCTCATCTTCGTTGCCATATTCACTATGTTTCGGCAGTTGTACGCTCCGGTCTTCTTCAGGATCTGTCTATAATTCTGAGATGAGGTATTGCAATTATTTACATTATTTACATTGTTCGGTTTGTAGTCTTCATTTTCATTGCCATATTCGCGATGTTTCGGCATTTGTACGCTCCGGCCTTCTTCAGGATCTGTCTATATTTCTGAGATGAAGTATTGCAATTATTTACATTATTTACATTGTTCGGACTGTTGTCCTCATCTTCGTTGCCATATTCACTATATTTCGGCCATTGTACTCTTCGACCTTCTTCCGGTGACTGGAATTTCGAACTAAATCTTTTATTTCGTCAACCAAGGGGTAGATTTTTCTAGTTTCACGTACCATGCCTCTTTCGGATGTCTCAGTTGTCTCCCTTTAACTCAACTCTCCAAATTTTTGTTCGTCACTGCAGCATTGAACTCACAACTCTTTGGGTTAAGACAAAGGTTCCACCAACGCTTTTATCCACTGGGTAATGTGTTCTTGAGGAAATAGTGAACTAAATAAAGGGTTCAGTTCGAAATTCCAATCACCCGAAGAAGGCCGATGCATACAACCGAAACGTCGTGAATATGGTAATAAAGATGAGGATAACAGTCCGAACAATGTAAATAATGTAAACCATATGTTTTTTGTTTAGCATTATTCATGTGATTGATTTAGTATATTTTAACTTTCAATATCATCATGGTTGTTCTTCGGTTCCGAAGAAGTGTTCACCTTCCAGTTTCGACAGAGACCAAAAGCGTCTCCGCGTCCTTGTGGGTGATAATTTCTTTTGCACCCTGTAACCCCTCTCTAACAGACGAAATGTCGCAAGCCTCTCATTGCTCTTTGGCTACTTTCATGGAAAGTTCGTTTAGGGTATGACCTTAAACTACATCCGTCAACAAGGTCTCTGATCGGGAGAGTGGAGGTTTTGAGGAGCGTGGAACTACTTCCAAACTGCTTTTGTTCCTAGATCCATCCTGACCCAGAGGTGGTGGCACCTGTTAGGGTCCCAGCTACGGGCAAATAGTGAACCCGCAAACAAAAAAACAACGGTACGTTTTTGTAATAAAATGAACAACAATACAATTTTATAGCAAAATAACAATGCAACGCTAAAAAATACAATTTTATAGTATTATTACCAACAACACATTTTATGATCTATATATCTAAAAAATATACCTTTTACTCAGTAAGTATAAAATTATGTAGAAAATATCTGCAGTTGAAAGCATAAAATTACATAAAAAATATATAGATTTCGGCATTAAATAACCCATAGAGATGTTGATATAACAGTAAACAAAA